AAATCATGTGAGTTGGAATCAACTCTATGGCAGTGGATTTTATTCACTTTCTGATCAATCTGCACAGTTACATGTTTAGTTTTTTTTTTTTTTTAATGTATGATAAAATTAAATTTAAAAGTTTAATTTAGAAGTAAAGCATTTTTAGAAGTATTACTCTTCATGAAAAACACTCAAAATAAGCAAATGTGCATTAGTAACATAATATAAAGTATTGTAAAATGAAACAAAAGAATACTAAACAGTCTTGAAAAATAAACTTCAACTGTATGCTAAAATATATGAATGAAGCCTACAAACATAATATTGATTGAAATACGCTTTCAACAAAACATTTGAAACATTTAAAAATCTTACCATTTCTTCTTCATTATCTATGTAAAGCAAATCAGATTTCTTAGAAGCACAAGCCATCCAACTCTCATTCCATGTTTTTCTTTCAATACTAATATAATAACAATACTTGGAATATATAAACCAAGACTTTGGACAATGGCCACAACGATTACCTAAAAAAGATTATAAATTACTATCTCAAAACAATTGAAATTAGAAACTTTCATATGACATTTATTGACATATTTGCATAGATCCATGTATGTACCTATATGTACATATAGGTGCATAAACAAGATATACACCTTCACAGAGTGGTATATATAAAACAAAGCACTTAAATTCATATAGCCATGCACAGAAAGTTAGCCTTTTGGCAAGTAATTTATGATACCCATATAAGACAAACACAAAGACTACATCTTATACATGTATTGAAAAATGTACATGTACTGCCTTTTTTTAATTACTGTGAATATATATATAATGGTCTATTGATTTTAAAAGCATGTTTTGTCTTTTTGTTGAATAAAGGTGAATGCCCTTATATATAAAAAAAATTTATATATGAAAATTTATTATTCAATTCTATTTTTCAAAAATCTATTATCAGTTTTGCAACCCCTAATAGAGATGGGAGCTCTGGTAGCGTATGCCTAAGGCATTTGACTGCTAACCAGAAGGCTGGTGGTTCAAACCCACCAGCCACTCCTCACAAGGAAGGTTAGGCAATCTACTTCCGTAGTGATACTGCCTTGGAAACCCAAGGAGGCAATTCTGTGAGTCGGGTTTAACTTGATGGCACATAACAACAACAACAACTAATATAGAGACAAAATATAATCTACCCTAACAAAAGAACTTTAAAAATGACTATATACCTTTCTGGGTTCTGGTTATCAGAGAAGAATTGTTCTGTTCCAATTTTAGAGTAGCTGAAAAATGTACAGTATTTCTTAGAAAGATTACTATGCTGTAAATAAATCATAATTTATTAATAACCTGATTTGAAATTTGGTGCATTTAAAATTAGAATAATGTGGAATAAAAATAACTTATAAAAAAGTCAATAAAGTCATGAAGGTCTTTGGGGAAAAATTCTACACATAGCAGGTAATGTGGTCTTTGGGGAAAGACAGCCTAATGAACTCTCTCTTAAAGTATTTGATTTAACTACTTTCAAAAGTTCACTTGTATTGTTCAATAATTTTTTTCAATATCCGAACAAAGTTTTAGATAATGTATATTTATCGATAGATAGATAGATAGATATAGATAAGACAAATACTTTCTACATTGTTTTGTTATTTATACTTTTTACAAATTCAAAATCACCTTTCCACATTTGGTCCAAATATAAACATTGAGTTCAAATACATATATTAAAATGAAAGCTGTATTTTCTAACAATATGAAATGTGTGAAAACACTTATAAATCATTAAAGTGAAAAGTTTCCTTATTGTGTTTCAAAAACATACAGGGAATAATAACTATGACACTCATGATTATTACACTGGCCATCAAGACAAAACAGATGACTCCTAGGATCGCAGCAATGAACATCCCTTGAGCTGATGGGAAGTCTGTAGGAGAAATGAAATTATTTAGAAAAGGAAGACAGAGCAAATTGTTTAGAACATTTACATACAAGAGAAACTGTACACACAGGAAATTATATGTATAAATGCTGGGATTGAACCCACTTCCATCTTCTTAATCTTTCTCTCTATACCACTGAATTTTCAGTAAATACGATGCTCCATGAATTGTTGGTCAAAAACTACAGATTTCAACAATACCTGAATAAAACTAATCATCTGATTCCATATAAAATCCCATATCCCCAGTTTGAGTTCTGATCCTCAAAAATAAAAATATGTTAGCCTGTTCTCTAAATCTGACTACCCTCCTTCCATGTACTCTTTCCTCGCATCTCTACTCCCCACCTGCATATCCTAGAGAAGTTAGTGGGGAGCTCTAGTAAATGCTTTACCTTTGCAGTGGGAGTTCTCGTCATTTCCTTGAAGATCCTGAGAAGCATTGTGAAGGTTTAATTCCACATAGTTTATTTCTTGTTCTGTATCTGAAATGGAGTTGTTTTTGCTCTTAGGTTTGATTTGCTGCCTCTTTGGATATTTGGCCAGCTTTATTTCTGAGTATATTACTCTTTGATTACTCATCTCTGCAGCTGAGTGGTATCAGGGACTGTATTTTAGAGTAAATGTGCTTAAGTCAGTGTATGGTGCATGTAATGACAAGATGCCTAGTGCACAGGAACTGGGCTATAGGGGATGGAGGTAAGGTGAGGATTAGTAGTCATCTTGCTGTTGGAGAATCTATAGTTCTGATCTGGATTTAAGTTTTAAACAAGTATCTCATGGTGGAGTAAGTGCTTTTTTTCTTTTTTTCTTCAGGTACCCTGCATTTGACAAAATAGTATTTGTTAAGGCAATGGAAAGCAATAAATCATCGAGGAATAAAGTAGTTTGTACATAATATATCCTTATTTATTTGAAGTCAGATCCCATCACAATACCATAAAAACATTATATTACCTGTGTTCAAATTTAAAATTCTGTACTTGTGAAAAATGATGCATTGATTTTTATGAAAATTTAAAACCTGAAGATGGTTAAAGACGGAGCACTCCAAAGATGGGGGATTTGGAAAGTTAGTATATATATTAGGAGCTCTGGTAGCATAGTGGCTAAAGCACTTGACTGCTA